TCCATTATTTCAAATATCGAGAACTAATCAAGACGAGCAAGTTGATCCTAATTCAAGTATTGATTTCAATACCTTTGTATGTAAAACCGTTGTTCTGCCAATTCGATATCATTTCAACTCTGATTGAATTTCACAAATAATAAATAAATGAAAATTATTGCAGTACTTGAATAGGTAGATTGAAGGAACGTGTTAAACAGTAACGTTTAGAATACCGAAATGCGTAGAACCGGCATTGATTATCTTCATTGAAAGCGATGCGTGTTTTGTGCAACGCGGACGATATTCGCGGACTGATTCACCCTCCAGTTCCATTCATTCTTGCAGCGTTACTATCCCTCGTGGCGGGAAAGCGCGCAGTCGCGTTGGTGGAGGGTACTTTGTTCGTCAAATTATTTCGTCGCAATTTCAACGAAGCTTCGTTCCAGTTTCGCTCTAATCACGAAGACTTAATTAAGCGGTAGCCCATTAGGTCCTTGCATACGAAACATCGGATTTCACAAGTTTTAGGTTTGCCAAACACTCTTGCGAATAAAATATGTTCTGACAAGCGAAATTATGCTTCAGTTTTCAATTAAATGCTTGCGAATTTTAAAGTCAATAAATTTGTGGAAATGTAGAAGATATGGAAAATTAAAAGTTTGCCCAATAATTATGTATAATTTTCAAGAGTTATGATTTTTAAATTTTATTTATACACGACAAAATTTTATATCAACATATTTAATATCCAGGATATAAAACTGGATTGTGTTTCCATTTTTGATCTTTTTTGTCTTCATATTTGTTTACATTTAATCAAAATTATAAAAATAGCTTTTCATTGTAAAACGTGCGAAAAACAACTTTTTCCATTACCTTACATTCGCTGACGTAAAATTGATATTTTATATGCGATACTTAATATCGGCCGATCAAAGGCTTATCAGCATCAATCGGTGTTAACACTGATTAAATTTCTTTACAGTAAATCACGCTTCTATAACCAACACGAATAAATTTTGCTTCGACGGTAATCCAATCGAGAATCGATCATCAAGCACCAAACGTCAAAAGTGTAAAAAGTCATGCATAGAGTATCGTGAATATTTAACAACGTAAATGCTTCTAAAAAAGCACGTTAATTTGTCAAACGTTTTAGATATTTTTTCAATTTCACACATTTTCGATTTCTATTTTTCAGAGTATCACACTCGATTTTTTATCGCGCGCGCGCTATTCTTCACATATTTTTGCAATTTTTTTGAACATTCAATTTGGCGACGTTGCATATCGCATTGAATGAAAATTAATACATTTTCGCCGGGTCTAAAATTGCGACGTCATTACTTCAACGAAAATGAAATTTCTACTATCGGAGCGTAACTGCAACGCGCTTTCCCGTGTCTCGCGCGCCGGAATACGAACTCACTAAAATCACAACGGAAAACTCGGTTAACCGGAAGTGGCGCGTCGCCGCTAACCGCGTAAAACACGCGGCGACGCGACGCTAACGCGACGGTTTTACGACGGCGCGGATACCTCGGACACGACTGATCGAGTGACCGAGGGGGTAGCAACGTGGGGTATACCCCTCCTCGTTACGCGAGAGCGTGCGCGCGCGCGCTCTTACGTATAGAATTACGCGTGTGTCCGGGCGGTGTGCGTACTACTACTCTACGTCGTACACCCGGAGGCTCGTCCTCCATGCGCTGCGAGAACGAGCGCGGTCGAGGGACGAGAAGTGCGACGCCGGAGAGTGTGGGCCCCTATCCCCTTCGTTCTCTCCCTCCGTCGCACCACTTTCTTTTCGCCCTCTCTCTTTCTCTCTCTTTCTCTTTCTGCATCCATCCCTCCGCTCCCCTGGCATGAGCGCCCCTCTCGTCCCCCACCAGCAACCCCCTTCGGCACGCTCTCGCGTGCGTGAATCATGCATATCGATTTTCTTTCGTTAGAGTAAGCGAGGGCCGCTCGGTAGTCGCTCACGTATGGCCGCTACTTCCCTCCCCCCCCTCTGCGTTCCCTTTCACGTTGTCGTTCCCCACCCCCTTTCTTCCTGACAGAGAGCCCGGGGGCCACGTACGGGCGAACCCCCTTCTAAAAATAGCATACGCGCGCGCGCGCGGTACCTGATTCTTTTCGTACAATAGCCCGCGTTCTCGTTTTCCTCCTGTCCCTTTGCCCCCTCGCTCGCTCTCTCTTCTTCTCTTTTGCTACCCTCGTCCTTTTCTCCGCGTACCCCTCTTCGTTACGTCGCGCAAGAGAAGCCCTCGACGATTGCCCCCCCCGGTCCGTTCTCCCGACGATCTTCGCTCCATTAACCCCCCCCCTTCCCCCCTCTACCCCTTGATGCTATTTTGCGCCCCAGCAAAACGTTCAGGGCTAAAATTTGGAAATACAAATCGTTCGGAACGTATGTTTTAATTCTAATCCATATATGTAGTTTTGGGTTTTTGTGACACTTTATTATTATTCTTTTCAAACGTTTCTAGGAAAAAAATAATGGTACAATAAAATTTTCTTAAAAAGTTATAATTTTACAGTTACAATACAATACTTTTTGTTGGTGTTGTCGAAAAGTTTGTCAGCCGGAGAGAACCGGGGATCTCTCGTTTCCCATCCGCGGAAGCGTTAAAAGACCGCGTCGACACTCGCGAAGTTCCAGTTAAGAGAGAAGCGGTACAAAGTACGACGGGGGGTGGCTCGCGATGCTCCGTCTTTCTCTCTTTCTCTCTCTCGGGCATCCCTTTCCGCCTCCCCCGGTTTTCGCGATGGCGGTCCCCGCGCGCTCCTCCGGCGAGCCCCGATAATAAACTTCTTTTGTTTTCGAACACCCTCGTCTATTGTCGCTGGTTCTTTACTTTCGCTTCTTAGTCGACGACAAAGCGAGGGCCCGTGTGCGTCCGACGAGCGGACGATCGAGCCCGCTTAAGTCGGCGGCTGGGACGACGCAACTATGTTCGAAAACGGAAACATTCGGAAACTTGGATTATTTTCATGGCCACGCTTAACTTTCATAGCTCGGAGCAACAGTTATTCACCAATTTGCGTTATAAAATAATTCGAAAAGATCTAATTTTAATATTCGCAGTTTTAAAATTAAGTCTTAGATTCTAATTTTGTGTATAATTTTTCTAAAACAAATTTCCCTAATTTCTCCTAGAGTACAAATTTATGTAATACATACATTAAAATAAAATAACACTTTGAGAAAGGAAAAAATCGTATATTAAAGTTCATTGTTAAAACTATTTTGCATGTATTAAGTGGCATTTGTCCCGATAAATAAACGTCGCGCAGTTGGTACAGAGATGCATTTTTAGGGATGAAAATAGAAATCCCCGAGTTATAAATAGTTCCTTTAATAAGTAAACGTGATAAGTATGGCGTTGTAACGTGAGATAGAAATAACTTTATATACAGACGCACGATTTCGGAGTAATGTACAACGATTTTATACAACTGCGTTTTGCATTTTCAACGAGGAGATTCGATCGAGTCTTCACGAGTTTCTACAAGTATTTGGAGGGAGCTGTCTGTTGTGAGCATAATTTTTCGATAATAAATAAACAGGTACTATTCAACCGAATGGCACAAATAAATCCCAGAGCAGTCCAACGTAAATAATTAAGTATAACGTCTGTAATAAATTATGCGTCTAAATTGATTGTATTCTTTGCTTCGTGTCGCTTAGAACTTAAGTAAACTTAAATAAATTGTGTGTGTGTGTGTTGTGTGTAGTGTCCTTTTTACGTAATACGTTCTACATAGTACGTTTGGAGTTTCGAGAAGTAGTTGTAGAAAGAGTAATTAACTAACTAGCCGGTGTAGCTTAAAATGCAAGTGGAATGTTTTCATGAACCTTATTGCATTTCCCTACGAGGTAATCACAAGGAATTCGCGAGTTTTTTCTTTATTTTATCCTACGTTATAATACCACGACAGTAGTAGACTCGGTTACGCAATTGAAACCTGTATATCGTACTTTTTGGCCACTAGATCACTTTGAATTGTTGCACACGTCTAGAAAAACTCTCCATCGCTTGTCTCTTTTATTAATTTATTTCGCAAAAATAAAATAAATGTTTATTGCATTTTTTATTGCAATAAATCAAGTATTTCTATTATGGTGTACAGATCAAGTGAAGTGGAAATGATTCATAGAAGAGACATATATATTTTATAAAACTATTTTGAAATAAAAGTTAGTTGCTTGTACATTAAAATATTCTGAAATTCAATTTCATATTTTGATTTATTTTTTTCCGAAATTATTTGTTCTAAAACCCTCCATCTTTCATTATTTAGAAAATTTTATATATTTCTTAAATTATATTTGTGAATTTTTGAGAATTTTATCTTAAATAGTCAATAATGTTTTGCAAATCTTAAATTTTCAATATTTTCTATTGAAAATTTAAAAAAATTTTTGGCTTTAACGGATGAGCAAAATCAACAAGGTGAAACTTTTCTGACGTGTGGCATCGTTGAACGTGTAAATCATCAAGATATGAAAGCGTACGGTTTTTCGTTTTGTTCCCTGTCGAAAGCTATAGGCGCGACGGGTGTCCGTTGCAATGGCATACATATGCACTTCGCATTGCAATTCGGAGGACTGTTTCAAGAGAATAAACGACATCAGTAATATCTCAATAAGCGTAGCGATTGACGACCCACTGAGCTCACACAAGATACTTCTATATTTTAGCTTAACCGTTAAAGTATAACTGATTTTTATATCTAATTGTAGCACAAATCTTTTCTAGAATATCAAAAAGTTTTTACTTAACGAGAATTTGTACTTAACGTTTTACCTTAGAAGCGAATAGCAAAAAAAAAAAAAGTTAGAAAAATTAGAGTATCAATTATAATCTATTAAATTCACACACATATTAAGTACACGTCATTAGCTAATTAATATATAATATTGTATAATTATCCGTTATATAATTATACGTTAATTATCATTTTAATTAATTTTTTTGCGAGAGTAAAATAAAGAAAGTCTTATGTGTGCTGTTTCAAAAAAAGATGATAAACGTTGGTTTTTGTTTTCTGAAAATAATTGACATTTAACTCTAATCTTTAAATATCTTTCGTTGTACAAACAGAGAAGATGAGAGCTCAATGAGTCGAAAACATAGATATTTTGAATATGTTTCTTTTACTTTTGGGCACCTTTTTGCACGAATATCTTCTTAATATCATAAATCTTTAATTCTATCTAAAGAAGTGACGTATCTTTATTGAAAATCGATAGGGAAATCGATGATATTCCTAATCCTGTGAATTATTTTGACCACGTGATCGCTCCTTCACCATTGCATTCGGACATCAATCCGTACCGTTCCTCCATCAGGACTTCACTTTACTCTTATTCTTCACTCTTGGCGACACCGAATAAAGTTTCTTGAAAGTTGTCACTAAATTGTTCCGCGGGAACAGCGTCTCTACGATACCTTCTAGCAGCACGTATAACAGTCTTCTATTTAATACGGGCCGCTGAAACAGCTCGAACACTCTTAACAATCCGCGCCTCGTCGTCTCGCTGCCTATGATATGTTTTAGTTCGTCCGAGAGACACGAAAGCAAAGCTATTTTAGCTGCCACTCGCGTTCTGTTTTTCATCTCCGTGTCTCGCGGCGGTTTACTCTCAGCCTTCACTCCATTCGGCCAGAAGCTATTCCTGCAAAATTCATTCATTCAGCCCTTTTCCCAGATTATCTAATTGTAACATTAAGAAATAAGTAATTATAAGCATTTTCTATGTTTAAATGATATTCTTCGATAAATGCCGATTTTATACGTGCGAATATTGCACTTGAAACACATGAACGCCACAGTTACTTACTTGAACAAGCGCAGATATCCCGCAACTTTCGACGGGCTGGTCAAGAACGATACATATTCTACTATTCTCCTATTTACTATATCTCCAAACATCGTGCGAATGATTTGTCGCAGTAGTGTTATGATTCGCCGTCTTAGCCACTGATTTCGTACTTTCAGATCAAAAATCTCGTCCATTAACAACAGCATAATGCGCAACGGAATGTTATCATCGGTCTGAAAACATAAATCGATTAATTGATTGGCTCAACGTTCCAGATATGTGAAATCATTCAAATAAAACTCGCCCGTTGGATAGCACATGTCGTTATTCAAAAGAAAGTGCCGTTTAAGACATGCACATTGTGAAACTAATCGCCGGATTCCTTTCTCAACAAACTGGTTGCTGGACAAAGAAATGTTGAATAGCCTGAATCATCTCAGCGCTCTGGGCAGGTTTCATTTGAATGATATCCTAATGATATTAATATGCCGAGTGTGTGACGTAGATAAATACCTCTGTATCTAGACCAGCGCCAACTTTGGTATTCTCGTAAAATATACTCGTTTTCTTAGGATTGCCGAAAATTTTGCTTAGGTTGTCCATCACGCCATCCACTGTACTCAGCATGTTGTCCGGCATCGTTTTCACTGCCTGCGTGACGCTTTTCATAGATGTTTTTAAGGGATTCATTAAATTGTCTATCTATAAAGCAAATATTTATCAGAGAATTAGTTTTTTTCGAAATATATAATATATATTGAAATAATTAAAAAAAAAAAAAAACCAGTTCGCTATTAACGATTTCTTATGATTTTAGGATAATAATTTTTAAGCAAAAATTTGATTTTTATTCATTCAAGAAAAACAAGCGCGTTATCGAAACTCTGCAATCATATTTACCGTTCTCGATATATGCCCGCCGGTGACTCCTTTATCGTAATCTCCTTGCTCTAAGAAAGCTAGCAGTAGGTTCTGCAGTCCCATGTGTCCGTCCACGATCGCAGGTTTCGTTAGTTGGGACAACCAAGCGTTCAGCATCAGCATCCGTCTCTCTAACACCGTGCGCTCCATATTGTGAAAGGCCTTCTTCGCGGGAAAAGGTATCTTCGCCAGATCGTAATACTTTTCCTTAATTTTCTGGTGCAAATCATAGAAATCGGAATACCGTCTGTAAATGTGCCACTTCTCTTTGTAACCCGAGTCGTAATTCTTCGTGACCGCTACTGCGTATATGCCGTACGTTTTCCCGCGATCGCTGACGATGCCAGTTTCTATGATTGTGGCAGTGATCTCAAAGCGGCCCTGCTGCAGCTTCTTAATCGCGTTCTGATCGTAGTTGCTCTCGTCCAGCTTGACGAATTGCTCCGCGTTCGTTTCCACGTAAAACGAAATGTCCTTCTTGCCGACTTCCTCTATTTCCGCAATGGCCTCCTTGCACGTGTATTTCACGCTCTTGAAGTTGTTCATGTCCGCGTCCACTTCATCAGATGCTCTGCTTTCGTTCACTTCGCCTATGCTCGTCAAGCTCGTCGAGGAGTTTGACTTCTTGGCGCCTTCTTTCGCGACGGTAAGCTTTGTATCGTCGACTTTGTATGTCAGTTCCTCGGCCAGCTCCTCCAAAGTGTCCAATTCATTGTTCGTGCTGGACAAGCTTATGCTGTCCAAGGACTTGGCGTCCTCCTCGGACACCGGATCTTTCAGCAGATCCAGCTCGGCGAGCAATTTGACGTAAGGCAGCGATCTCTTGAAGCCCGGCAAGAATCTGTCCTCGTTCTGCAGCTTCTCGTAGCAGCAGTTTCGTAGCTCGTCGAACCACGTTTCTTTGACCGTTTCCGTTTTCATTCTCGTCAATAAAGTCTTCACCAGCGCGTCGTCCAGCTGCAGCTTGGGCGACGCTTTGTCGCTAAGGTACTGTTGGTAGATCTTCGTGGCCGCTTCCTTCAGATTGTCCAGATCCGGATTCTTGCGTCTAGCGCCGATCGCGCCCGTGCCAGATTGAGCGCTTTGGATCTTCTGCAATTCTATGTCCGATATCTGTTGCTCGGCCGAGACTCTCCATCCGTAGATATTCAGATAAAAAAACAGATACGCTTCCGCATTTATGGAAGTCATGTAATCTATGAAATAGCTGAGCGCAATGTTATTCTTCAGCAATTCGTCTAGAGGTAAATTAACTAATTTTTGGCCCGGTATAAGCAGTCTATTCCATTCCGGTTGAGCGCCGATCCCGTCCGTTTCAGTTTCTAAGCCTTCCTGCATGCCGATGATTCTTGTTTCCAAGATTTTCTTCACGTAAAGCAAACTGTTCAATTGCTGTTTCACCGATAGATCGTCGTCCCCGCCCGAATCCTTCGAGCGCAGGTGCGCTATTTCTTTACAAATTATATTCTTCGTCGCCATTAATTCGTCTAAACTGTCTGTTATTCTAATCACTGTTAAAAAGATATCACTTGGTAAACCACCCTCCTTAGTACACTGAAATAAAAAAAGAATCAATATATTATACATTGAAATAAGAGCGTTATTATACAGAATATGTGACAAAATGTGAACATTTATTTATTGGGATTTTTTATTGTTTAATCTATCCGATATTTTTTATATGGTTTATCTTGTAATTTTTATAAAATTTGTCATCGAAACCTGCGCAATATTGCTGTTGTACTCACCAGCCATATACATGCCTGATTAATGTAATCAGGATCGGAGAACAGATCTAACAACGGTCTGATTATAACGTTCACTAACAACTCCCTTAATATAAATCTCATAGTCAAACAATCGAAGTCCGCCTTGGGTAGCACCAGGTACAATAGAATCTCGGATATTTCGCCCAGGAACTCCAATTCCTGGGTGTCGTTCGTACACACCAGATCCCTGCATATCAGATTATTCTCCATCTGTACTTCGAGATCGAAAAATATCTTCTCCAATGACTCGTCTTCCTGCTCCTCGCCGGACGACTCGATCGGCTCGGTGAGTGCCGACAAGTTCGGTATATAAAATTTCGACTGCGAATACCACGACACATCGGTCTCGCTCTTGTTCCGGCGATGAGTAGGCGTCTTCTTCGGCGTTCCGCCTGACGTGCTCGAGCTGGCGCTACCCTTTTGGATCCTATTTGATCGTAATTGCTTCATCCTCGCGCTCGCTTGTCGATATAGCCTGACGTGCGAGGCTACATCGTCGACGAGCCGTGTGGTCAAGTAGGGAATCCAATCGACACTCTTGACCCTGTTTCGCACATCGGTATTGAGTAGTAAAGGGCTTTTGATTAATAGCAAATAAACCACTTAGGGTCATATTACTTTTCAGACATTTAAATATTTTAGTAGATATTTAGATATTTAGCATTTGCAATTTTAAATTAAGCTAATTTTCATAATTATTAAGATAACATGAGTAAGAATAACACGAGTAGTATAATCAAAGCATATACAGATAAAGACGACTCGAATAAATTTAATAAAAACAAACAAAACTGGTGTATAAAAAATATCAGTTCTGATGCAGTCAGCTAAGCGTTAATAAAAAAACATTTACTGATTTGCGACGTTGATGGCGATTTTTTGAGCAGTGTCTCGAACAGAACAGGTGAAATCCTTGTCATCAGAGATATTCCCATACCAAGGCTGCACATAATCTCTGAGAGTAAATTCCAGGATTTCCTGCAAGTAGCGATTGACACATTAGGCGATTGCTCAAATAAATGAGAAATGAATTTATATTGTTTTGTGACAATATTGAGTATGTACTTGCAGGGATTCATCAATGATACGACTACCAGTTATTCTTGTATCTAATGTAAATGTCATCCTCTCCCCGGATACGTCTACTATATTCTGCAAACAGAACGCATGGATTATTATGTAGCAAATTGCAATCGAATTATTTCGAAATCTCCAGTTACCTGCCGGAACCTTTCAGTCTTCTTAGTTAAGTCTTCCCTTCCAGAATTAATTACATCGTCGAGATTCGGTGAATATTTTCTATACTGATACCATATATTGACCAATGTTCTGCGATAGAATATTCGTTTGTTTTGTACTTTGCATCTTATGGTCTTAACTTAATTACACTATTTATCTTGCATGTTTCGTAACGTGTTTTTTTTTATCTTACCCTAGTATTAACGCAGCCAAGCAGGAGACAGGTTTTGCGATCGTTCTTATGTCGAGGATGCAAGCAAGCAGAATCGCTCCGAGAACGCCATACAATATAATAACGTTCATCTGCAAAGATAGTCTATGATTAGTTGATGAATAATAACAATGTATCGGAGACAGCACAAACGCGTCAGTATGCATAGCAATTATCTCGAAAGACGTCAAGCGTCAGAGCAAATGTACTGTTAAGACTTTTCCATATAACAGCGATTTTCTTATCAGTACTTTCTCGCGCACACTTATCAAATAGTAGCGTTTATCACTCGAAACCGTGGAATAGGCAGAGAAATACAAGAAAATACAATTTAATGAGCCAGTAAAAACAGAAAATCTCATAGCGAAAGTTTGCTCTTAAAAATTAACATATCAAGAATAAAATAAAAATTTAAATTTGTTTTTAATTAATATTTTGGACGTTCATACCGATGTTTGTCAGGAAAATTGATAATGCGTATACTAAAATTAAATAAGTAATATTATTTATAGCAATAATTAATATAAAAAATTAGAAAGTTGATAAAATAACCACATCTATTTGCTCGTAACAAAAATGGATACTGTAAATGATAAAAATAGCGTTATAATTAATTATAACAAGATCTGCCAAGAAATATTAATAATAACAATCCCAGGCTGATTTTCAATTTAGCAATAATTCAAATTCTATATATCAATTATAACAAAGCATCTACACTCTCATTGTCAGTTTGTCTCATTTTTCCTTAAAGGGTTTTAAATATTTTCATAAATTTTTTCTTCCTTTATAAATTATCTTAGGAAATTGTTTTTCTCAGAGAAAATTTTTTTTTATCTAAAAAATGTCTCAACTGTTTTTTAATTAATAATCTAATGAATAAATATTAGTCTGTTTAGTGTCACAGTTTGAAAAATATTTATGTGAAACATAATATTGCTTATTTGTACAAATGCTTATTGTTCACTGTAAATCATAATATATAACGTGATTAATTAAATTTGATCCTTTCACAAGCAAACAATTAAGACTAAAGATATGAAGTGTTGCAATAAAGCTTATCAGAATAATAAGTTAATTGAAGTATAACAAGGAATAAATGAGGCGTCACACGAGTGTTTAAGTATTTCTTCAACATATAATACTTAAAAGTTAAGCTTGAGCTCTTGAGATATAAATCTACGAGACATATCTCTTCAAGATAAAACTGTTGACAATTAAACAAAAGCAGATGCCTTGTGTTAAGAACATAGAATTATTTCTAGAATATCAAAGCTTCGGATACATGATGCAGGACAATCTTACTGTCATGCTTTTGTTCCAAGCAAACAGGTTTTTACACCTGCCATTTGATTCGCCTCTCACTATCGAGCTTCTATTTTCAACAAAAATCAATTATGCTTCATTTGTTATTCTCGTCGCTGGTGACAATCATTCAAATTCCAAAGTCGTCGATGCGTGACTGATTGTCGCACACCCTTCTCCCTCTTGCGCGGTTCACAAACAACACAAAACAATTGTCGCACTACTGACGTATGGCAAGGCGCGTGAGCGCTCATATGCTTCATATCGCACTTCGAAATCGTGCACCTCGCACATTTTTTGTCGAATCGCGAAGATTGCGATGTTTCAGATTACGAGTGGATAAGTAACGAGCAAGCGGAACGTAGATTTTTCGTTGACGGCGACGAACGTCGGTCGCGAGGTGGCAAATCCGGCGCGGGGATTCTTGTTTATTCTACGCACCTTTGGTGGTTGCATGATGGGCTGGTTGTTGTCGCGCATTCGACTATATGCATATTGCGAGTCTCGCGGCAGTGCTCACACTCTCAGCGAGCTGGTCAGCTAAGTAGCGCTTTATTTACATCTTCGCGGACGACGCGGTCCGTTGCGCTGAATGGTACGTCGCGCAACATCATGTCTTCCGATTCTATACGATTCTGCGTGATCGGGCGACGTCGTCGTCGCCGTCGTCGTCGCTGTCTGTCCGTTGACGCGAGCGCTTCATACCGGCGGATATTGTAACTGCATCACTGTTAGTCGAAGATAATGTCAGTCCTCTTCTATTACCTTTTGCTCTCTTGATAATCAAGCAACTTGCATTTTTATTATTAAATTGCAGATTTCGAAACTTAATTAGTTAACAAAATTACTTCTGTAATGAATAATTAAAATTGTATGTAATTTGCGTGACATTTTTATGCGTATTTTTTTCTCAGTGAATAATAGCAAGAAATTTGAAAACAGCTATATCGATAGATGAACACATTGATTCTAATTTTATTAAGATTTATTAAGATTTAATGTATAAAAAGTTATTTATTTCTTCCAACTAAATGCGATAAAGATATATATTACATATTATTTAATTTGATTTTTTATCCAGTAAAAGTTAATCAAATAAGAATCTAAAAGTTGAATATAAAAGGCATGTAAAAAATATTTAACAATTATAAGCATATTACAGAATAATTCTTAATTAAATCTGATTTTATAAAAATTACATTTAATTACATAGATTACAAGATGATTTAAACAATACGAATAAAATAGTGTTGTAACACAGTTGCTATATTGATAATTGCAGTCTTTCAAGTTGTAGAAAGCGCGGGATGAGCTGCGTATATTGTTCGCGCCATCTTGTAATCATAATCATTTCCGCCTCGCGCTCAACGTAGTCGTTTCGTATTTTTCGCGGAGTTTTCCCGTTTGTAATAAGCCTCTTGTCTAATAGCTAACAGTATCGCATCGAACAAGAAAAGATTAGCATTATGTATAATTAGTATAAGCGAGTGTGAGTAATTAGATCGAACTTCGTTTGTTAGATTGAAGCTTGTAGTTTTGTTACACACCGCGTCTTGTAATCATTTCACATCATTCATGATTTCTGTTTGCTTGTATGATTTCCTTTGTGAAAACATACAATGTCGAATCGAATAAGGGAGACGATAGACGAGTGCTATTGATGTAAGCAATTTACTTGTGTAAACATAGCCTCTCTTTCATTCGCGCAATGTCACAATAGTGTTATTTTGCCCGTTGCTCTGAAATTGTGTTCTTTATACGTCGTGTCATGTATTGCGTTGTAATGGCGGTGGGATTTTATCGTATCAGTTTTGTTTGTATAAAGTAGTTTCCGCGTGTGACAGTGAACAGTGCCGAATCTAGCAAGGAACGATGGACAACTATGTGTGTGTTAATGTAAGTAATATATTTAGGTCTAGCCATAACTTTATTCAGTTCTACAATGCCACAATTGCACCATTTTCTGTTAAACTTATATTTTTTTGCAAAGCATCATGAACACAAAAATTGATAATTATTTCAATTAATCAAGACAACCTGGATCTTGCATTATTAATGTATATGATTGTGTAAGTAATCTAGAAGAGAGTGAATGATTTATCACTCATAGGTTTTAATATAAAAATATACACAAATTCAATTTTCAATAACTCGTACAATTTTTATAGTACAATAATATATTAAGGAAATATATAGGTTATGTAAGGATATATAACAATGCAATATAATTTTAATCAAATTTGGTTTTGTTAAAATTAAATTAAATTATATGTAAAGCCATTCAAATTATTTAAATAAAAAATGTGTCATAATCTCAATATATTAATATTCAAATAATCATGTTTTAATGCAAATATTCTATATTTGCATTCATCTAAAATGATCCACATATTTAATAAAATAAATAACGCGCAACCTGGAATTCTCTTCAGGAATGATCAACATTGAATATTATTAGCGTGCGCGATGGCAAGCAATTTAACTTTGATGTTTACAATTTTATTTGATTATATATTGGTATCATTTATATCGATTTATATTACATTATACTTTAGTTATTTGTCGTATTGCGTTGTAATTTTTTAAAATAATTGTTTATTATTTTTGATACAGGTGATTCCTGTGGACGACAATGGACAGTGCCGAGTCGAGCAAAGGATAATGAACGACTACGAGTATTATTAATGTAAGTAATTTATTTATATCATAACTTTTTTCAATCGCGATTGTCTCATTTTGCGCTAAAATTATATTTTCCGTTTTTTTTGTGCTGAATGAAAATAAACGTTAATAATATTAAATTAATCAAGGGTCAATCTTCTTATTATATTACACAGTTTAATTAAAAAAACACCAAAATGCGAGGTATTATTTTTATGTTTTTTATGCCAAATATTGTGTCAGTTTTGATAATACTGTCACATCACAATTTTCAAAAAATTTAAGGTCGTAAAAAGAGCTACTTTTTATGTACTTTACTATGTTATAACTATAGTGTGTAAAGTGTTGGAAAAGTTTTTTAGTTTTTTTTAAATAAAGTGTATTATCAGGCTTTCAACTCTGAAAAGAAACTTTTGTATACATTATGATTAGGATTTTGACGATTAAATATTGTGTCTATTACATCTAGATTAGATTATTTACCTGCGATGTAATTGACACAATATTTAATCATAAAAATCTTATTAACCATATATTATCATAATGTATACAAAAAATTCCTTTTGAGCATTGAAAGCCCTGATAATATACTATGTTTAGAAATTAAAAAAACTTTTCTAACACATGACATAATTATAACACGATAAAGTACATAAAAATAGTTTCTTTTTACAATTTTGATCTTGAATTTTGCAAAATTGTGATGTGACGGAGCATTTATAAAGCCGGCATTATATTCAGCATAAAAAATGTTACAAGAAATGATACTCCTCATTCTTGTGTTCAAAGAAAAGCTATTTTATGTAGACCTGTATTATTAATATACATGATTGCGTAAAAAATGTAAAATCTGGAGAATGGTTTAGATCATGCATAAATTTTAATAGAATGATAATTTATTAAATTAATTTATAATAATTTGCGCAAATTTGATGATATAATAATGTAATAGAGGACATATTCAATAATTATGTATAGATTACATAACAATGAAATAAAATTTTAATTAAACTTGGTTTTATGAAAATCAAATTTAATTAGGCGCAAAGTGATTCATATTGTTGGAATAAAAAATGTGTCACAGTCTCGATATATTAATATTCAGGCAATTGTATTCTAATGCAATTGTTCTGGGTTCGTTATGACTTTTATTTATTTAGAATGATGCGAGTGTATAATAATTGATAATGGCGAATTTCGCAAGAGATGATCAATATTAAGTATTATTAGCGCGCGCTATTGCAAGCAATTCAATTTAACTTCAATGTTTATAATTTTATTTGGTTTACGCCATGTCGTACTTTAGTTGTTTTGCGCGTACTGTTTGATGTGTTACAACGATTTTCAATTGCTTCGTATTATTCACAATTTACACTTGCAAAAAGTGATTCTTGTAACAATGAACAATGTTAAATTGAGCCGGGGATGACGGACAAGTCATTTGAATGTTCTTAATATAAATAATTTATTTGTGTACGATTTGTAATCTTTTCAATTGTGCATTGTCACAATTGCTTGATTTAATGCATCGTGTTTTTTACTCGTTGTAAATTTAAGTGCTATTAATTGATATGAATAATATCCAATAGTTGAAAGATATTCATGTTATATGTATATATTATTCATGTTAATAATATACACGGTTGCATGAGTAAAACGGTGTTAAAAAAATAAACTAGGGAAAAAATAGAGAGATTATAGATTTTGTTACAGAAATATTTACACATTTTATCATAAAATTTTGAAAATACGGTGACATATTAAGAAAATGTGCAATAATTACGCGTAAGCACATTGCAATGCAATACAGTTTTAATTAAACACAGTTTTGGGATATTTTATGCGCGATTTAATTGCTTGCATAAAAAAAAATGTATCACGATATCGTGATATTTACATCTTTATATTGAGACTATTACATCGCATTATCAATATATATAAAAATTGAGAAAAAGATAAAGTTTGATTTTCCGTCAGTGTCTTAAAAAAATTATTATAACATAAATTTTGTGCATGATTGGAAAAATTTTACTTTTTCACTTTTTGCAAAGTAAAAATTATTATTGCAGTTTAAGTGCAATAATAGTTCAAAAAACAAAAAGTGAAACGGTAGTTTACCACATTTAAATATCAGAAAAATAATCCAACCGGGGTGTCTCAATTTACAATGGATATCGGATTGCAACTGCGGCTACTGCGTTTTGTGCTTTTTTTTTCGCCACGATACTTACGCGCTAACCGCATGTAACGAACAGACTCACGGGTGGGTTGGTATGCGGGCGGCCGAGTTCTCGTGGAATTTAAAGGTACTCTCTCGTTTGAGCGGGGATAATTAAATGTCTATCGGAAATTCGTCGGTACGGCCAACGGTCGAGAGGTGATTGAACTACTTGGCTTGTTCTCTCTCCCTCGCTCTCTCCTTCTCTCTCTCTCTCTCTCTCTCTCTCTCTCTCTTGTTCGTTATCCAGAGTCACAGGTGTCTGGAAGCGGCAGCTCCATTCTATCATCGCGTGGCCGAAGTGCTTCTCTGGGTGTTCTCTGAGAGAGAGGCTCATCGTCGTGTACTTAATTAATCACGCAGCATCACTGATACCCGCCGCTGAATCCCGCGCGCGGTTTCGCCATGCTTTTTCTAAACTCGATCAGCGCGAAATGTAAATCTGCTCCTGACTCGCATTTGTCATCGGTGGCGCGGACAAGCGAGCTTTTGATCGACCTCGCGGTTTTGCCGCAAAGCGATGACTTTCATAATTGAACTTTGTGAACATTATTCTGTCGAAGTAGCAATAAGATACGAGTATGGATCGAGACGTAATACGTATCTTAAATAAGCGCGATTATTGATATTTCATCACTCGTATCAAATATTTTTCGATTTATCCAAAATAGCTTTCTGATAATTGTAAGTTAATGAAATATATGCAGTTGTATTTTTTCTTGCCGATTGTATAGAAGATTGAGAGAGCATTAATTGCGAAACGCTAGTTTGGTGAGAGACACTGTTAAGGTTTTATTGAATTATTTATTTGCGACATAGCAGCATACATCCGTCCATAAATCATTTATTATTAAGCATTCGCGTAGCCGGGATTTCTCGGCGTCGATAAGGTTGAATAGTGGCGAACAGTCGACAGGGAAAAATCGCGACAGCCCAAGGGATGGTAAGTTCCATTCAATCTTTCGAGAGATCTAAGACCAGCGACCCCAACACCGAAAGGTTCGCGAAAAGTTCTATATCTTGCCTTTAGTGCTTCTAAGCGACGTTCCGCGAGCGGGGGATGACACAGTCGGGATGAGCATTGCTCAGATTTTCCTCATTCGCATACAAAATGTCCCGAGAGTCGCACATTTCTCCTCTCAGAGAACGGATTCTCCGCATTTTAGATGCTTAACAAACTAGTTTTTAACATTTAATACCTTGGCCTTTTTGCGTTAGAATAAAATTAAAAGTATGAGTAGAACTGGTTCAACAACTAATTCTTAATTAACCGCGCTTACTTTGTGTAACCTAAGTATTCGTGTAAAGTCATTATTACATTTTTTTATTACGTTATAATTATTGAAGAAGACGTAATTATTTTATATGGTTTTTTCGATTTTATTCTACGCGAAAACAAACAATTACACTCAATTTATTGATTAAAAAAGCATTATATTTTCCACTTTGTTTTACTTCGCATATTAATTATATTTAGAATAAATTAAGTTGGCAATGAAGAACTAAGAACTGCGCGGTTAATGCTTCTCAAACATTCGTTATTCTTTTATTTTTAAAAATGAGAACATTTTTTATACACTGCAGGCAAAAATAAATAATCATTTGTGCACGTAATTAAAAATTGAATAATTAATATTATAATAAAAATAAAATAATATTAAACGTTATATTACAACTATTATTAAAAATATTTAAAAAATCCATTTATATTATACGCTATGCGTGTAATATAATGTGTAGTTTTCGATCGCAACAACAAGCTTTTTTGTCTGAGAGAAATTAATTACTTCGTAATCGAATTATCCATTTATAACTATGAATAGAGGAGAAAATATCGTGCACAATCTCATTACATTATCATTAGAATTATTTGACTGGATTTACATATCGATTATTGGACTTTCATTTACTTTCGCGTAGATTCTCCGCGCAGATATCGCCGCGATGAGTGGAAAGTTCACTTTGGAGCTTTTCCAATTCCTTCGAAAAACAATTTCCAAAGTTGCTATCGTGGAATGTTCGATGGATATATGGGATGTCACAGGTGCCATCACTGTCCATTACAGATACTAGAGATCAAATTAAGAAAAATGCCATTTCTTTTAACAATGTATTAGTAGTTTTAGTATAAGTGAAATTTATAAAATTTTGATAAATAACATTTTTAGAGATTTAATTTATAAATAAATGCATTACAAAGATATACATAATTAATTTAAGAGTTTAATAGAATTTTTCTGTAAATTATGTTGAATTTTAAGTTTAATTAAATTTACATTTAAACTTTAAAATTGAATTTAAAATTCAATTGGAAAACAAAAATTAATTTTACTTTATAATAGAGTAAAATTATTAATTAAAATTATATTGTATTGTATATTGAGAAAGTGGCACTCAATCGAGATTTCGCAGTTGAAGATTATTTAGGAAAATTAAATAAAATTGGCATTTTTTTCAACGTTTATGTGAGGCAAAAAACGTTTGCATTCATTGCTATTCAAACATTTTTACACGTGTAGCTGGCAAAATACACATTAGGATAGCAGAATATACTAAAAAGACCATAAAATAGAAATCGATGTTTCGCCCAGTTTTATTAACAAAGATCGACTTTAAATTCGCCCGAGAATTCACGCCTGAGGGAATGTACGCCAGAAACACCCAATACAGTGTAGAGGAAATTATCACGAACAAACGTGAGATAAATGAACGACATGGTGCATAGTGATGTGGAGGAATTATACGGATAAAACTTTATAGTTTGTTTTGTTGTATCAAACAAATAATAAAATATGATTGCCGTTGAT